CCCCCCCCCCCCCCCCCCGCTCTGTTCCTGCCCTTGCCTCATCGACCTGCAGGTTCAGCAGTACCGGTTCCGACCGGCGATCCTGTACCCCTGGCTGTTGCGTCTGTTCGAGCCGATCGCCGCGACGATGCTCCAGCTCCCGGCGCTGGTGGACAAGGAGATCCGCCAGCCGGGGGCCTTCGCGGCGGCCGGGCCCGATCACTGTGCGCGAGTGGTCCCCCCCCTACGACGGGCCTTTTTCCTGGCCGCGGCCCTGAGCAGTGTCTGCGGGCCCAAGGTTGTCGGTGCGTGTGACTCTCCCTCCCTCCCTCGATTCCCATCTCTTTCTCGTTGCTTCCGTGCCGCCGTGCTTCTGTCGGCGTTTACTGACACTTCTGCTGCCGGGCTGAGCAGCCAAGTTCCTGCCATCGACACCGCAGGACTTCCGTTCGGCGGCCCTCTGCACGGCCTTCCTCTTTGACTGCGACCCTCGGGCCATCGCCGACATCTTACAGCTGGACGTGGCTCAGGCGGCTGGCCATGAGCCAGGTGTCTGGATCGAGGCGGTGTCCGATGTGTCGGCCAGCGAGGAGGCCCCATCGTTGCGCTCGGTCTTCGCCGGAGCATGGTACGTGCGCCACACGCACCTATTGTGGCTGGGGTCGGCTCTGCTGTCGCCTTTCCCTCTGGAGAATATCGCCGGCAAGGTGCGCGCGCTCTCCATCCCCCCCCTGGTCTCCCTTCCTCCCCCTTCGGCTTCTTGATTGGCCCCATCGCTCGGGCGTATATATATATATATATGTGTGTGTGTGCGTGCGGCGACGAACTTCTCTGACACGCGAGACACGTGCACACGCGCACGCGCAATCGTACCACTTCGTCACCCGACACAGAGGATCACCCAACTGCTGGTGCTGATCCTGGCCCGGGTGTTGTTGTACCCGGGCGCACGGTACTCGCATCAGGAAGTTCGTGCAGGCGCGCGGTGCCTGGCAATGGCGTGTGCCCGGCCGGATGCCGCGGCGCGCCTGCTGCGTGCGCTGTTCTTCAATGGCCTGGGTCTCTTCTTGCAAACATGCAGCGGGCACGAGGCCACCGAGCGGTCGCTCAACCGCGTGGACAGCGCCCTGCGCTCGGTGTATGCACTGCTGAAGCTGGTCCCGCGTTCGAGCCTGGTGGAGGATGCTCTGCTGGACATCGAGCCCGGCTCTCCGGAGGCCGGGCATGTGTGGGCCTTGCTGGGCATGGACGGGCCCGAGACCGGTGCGATGAGCAGCCTGGCCGACTTCACGCGGACCTGGGAGCGTCTGGCCAGCTCGCCCGAGGCCGGAGACTGGCTGGCTACGCCGGATCCCGATCACAGCCTGGCCCTAATCGACACCTTCCTGGAGCGGGTGTCCCTCTTCCCGGGGGGGTATCTGGCTGGACGGCCATCGCTGCGTTCACTGCAGGTGCGCACCTCCTGGGGGTGTCCTGCGATCAGTCGTTCTCTTTTTTTCTGTCTTTGTCCTTCTCTCTCTGTCCTTCTCTCTCTGTCCTTCTCTCTCTCCATCTCTCTCTGTCCTTCTCTCTCTCCATCTCTCTCTCCATCTCTCTCTCTCTCCATCTCTCTCTC